TACAGTCTCTGGCTTTCTTTCTTTCCCTCACACAGAATGAGGAAGAGTTAAAGAGATTGGACCAGAAAGTACATTTTGGACTTGTGAATAATGTTTTCTTTCTTTCTTTGTTTCCATGCAACAAAACACAGAAAATATCTTTACAAGACAAAAGTCTCTTCTATGTACTGTACACTTTTTTGCCCAGCAGTGTATATTATACATAGTCTTGATCTAAAAGAAAGAGTATGAATTTGCTTGAGCAATCTAACAAACTCAGTGTGTTTTGTGGACATATTAGAGATGTTTTATTAAGATAAACACATTCATATGTAAAGGATGCTTTTGTGTATGGTAATTTCACCAAATGCCACTAAATACAATATTCTGAGTAATTACGTTATTAATAGTTGGTCAAGAAAGATACTGGTAAAATACCATTAACTATCAGTATAATTTGGGCTTGTTATATTTCACTGCAGTTTTTTTTTTTTTTATCAACTGACAACTTTTCAAAGAAATGCCAAGAGTTGATCCAGCATGAAATAAAGACTGCAAGATTAAAGGATCTGTAAATGAATCTCAATCCTCTCTATAACGGCCCATATAACATCCTCAGGGGATTTCAGCTGAACACAATAGTGTAAAGAGAAAACCACACAGACGCCTTACAATGAAAATGACAGTGTTACATACTAACTGAATATAGACTCAAAGATGCATTAGTCCTCAACACCTAAGAGTTGATTTCTGAGGAGAGCAATCCCGCTTATTTTCTGAAATTGCAATAAATCAAGGTCGACAACAGCCTCTGTGCAAACACTCAAGTCTCAGTTAAACTCAAGTGCTCAAAAAGGGCACAAGTAAACCAATATCCTTCAAAAACATCTCTTCAATATAACATTAACAGATAAAGAAATTAATGTTAACGTTGCAATAGGTGATCTGGGAAATGCTAACTTAAGCCTGCTAGCATTGAAATCATACGATCCCACCCTCCCTGCAAATCGCCATCCAAAGCCACACCTCCTCCAAAGCCAAAGCCACACCACCTCTAAAGCCAAAGCCACACCGCCTCCAAATCCAAAGCAACACCGCCTCCAAAGCCACACCACCTCTAAAGCCAAAGCCACACCGCCTCCAAAGCCAAAGCCACACCTCCTCAAAATCCAAAGCCACACCGCCTCCAATTCCAAAGCAACACCTCCTCAAAATCCAAAGCCACACCGCCTCCAAAGCCAGAGCAACACCTCCTCCAAAGCCAAAGCAACACCTCCTCAAAATCCAAAGCCACACCGCCTCCAAAGCCAAAGCCACACCTCCTCCAAAGCCAAAGCCACACCTCCTGAAAGTCCAAAGCAACACCGCCTCCAAATCCAAAGCAACACCGCCTCCAAAGCCACAACTCCTCAAAATCCAAAGCCACACCGCCTCCAAAGCCAAAGCCACACCTCCTCAAAGTCCAAAGCAACACCGCCTCCAAATCCAAAGCAACACCGCCTCCAAAGCCACACCTCCTCAAAATCCAAAGCCACACCGCCTCCAATTCCAAAGCAACACCTCCTCCAAAGCCAAAGCAACACCTCCTCAAAATCCAAAGCCACACTGCCTCCAAATCCAAAGCAACACCGCCTCCAAAGCCAAAGCCACACCTCCTCCAAAGCCAAAGCCTTACCGCCTCCAAAGCCACACCGCCTCCAAAGCCAAAGCCACACCTCCTCCAAAGCCACGCCTCCCCCAAAGCCAAAGCCACACCGCCTCCAAAGCCAAAGCCACACCTCCTCCAAAGCCAAAGCCACACCGCCTCCAAAGTCACACCTCCTCCAAAGCCAAAGCCACACCGCCTCCAAAGCCACACCTCCACCAAAGCCACACCTCCTCCAAAGCCACACCGCCTCCAAAGCCAAAGCCACACCTCCGCCAAAGCCACACCGCCTCAAAAGCCAAAGCCACACCTCCTCCAAAGCCACACCGCCTCAAAAGCCAAAGCCACACCGCCTCCAAAGCCAAAGCCACACCTCCTCCAAATCCAAATCCACTCAGCCTCCAAAGCCAAAGCCACACCTCCTCCAAATCCACACCTCCACCAAAGCCACACCGCCGCCAAAGCCACACCTCCTCCAAAGCCACACCGACTCAAAAGCCAAAGCCACACTGCCTCCAAAGCCAAAGCCACACCGCCTCCAAATCCAAAGCCACACAGCCTCCAAAGCCACGCCTCCTCCAAAGCCACACCTCCTCCAAAGCCAAAGCCACACCTCTTCCAAAGCCACACCGCCTCCAGAACCAAAGCCACACCTCCTCCAAATCCAAAGCCACACCTCCTCCAAAGCCACACCGCCTCCAGAGCCAAAGCCACACCTCCTCCAAATCCAAAGCCACACCTCCTCCAAAGCCACACCTCCTCCAAAACCAAAGCCACACCTCCTCCAAATCCAAAGCCACACCGCCTCCAGAGCCAAAGCCACACCTCCTCCAAATCCAAAGCCACACCTCCTCCAAAGCCACACCTCCTCCAAAGCCAAAGCCACACCTCCTCCAAATCCAAAGCCATGCCTCCTCCAAAGCCACACCTCCTCCAAAGCCAAAGCCACACCTCCTCCAAATCCAAAGCCACACCTCCTCCAAAGCCACACCTCATCAAACACATGAACGCGCACAGAACGTTATTGGATTACATCATGTGTCATTCATACAGTAACAGTCCAACAATAACGAACTTAAAAAACTATTAAAAAACGGAATTAGATGAAGCAAGTTTTCGGTTGTGTAGCTTAGCTAAACCTGTCAGTGTGTTATAATATTTCTTGCGTGCCAGGGTTTCCATGATGAGTCTGCTTGGCTCAGATGAAGATGTCTATGATTTCGTAGATCCTTTGCAAGTGCCACTTGTTGTCGGTTCAGAAGGAAAGTTAGGCTGTCTGTCTGCACAGCGTATGTGAAACACTGATGCTTGCGTGAACAGACTGCGCAGTGGTGTACGCAAACACACGCTGACTGAGGGAACACATGCTATTGATATCACTGTAGAAGAAATAAACAGCTGCAGAAAAAGTAGGTGCCATGCAAAATGTAAGAGTAACTGCATTACTCATCGCAAATGTAGTGGAGTAGGTGAATATACTTATTCAAAAATGTAGACAAGTTATGATTAGGATTAACACGACCACAACACATGATGTAGTCAGGCGGATCCGGGCCGTATCCAGATCAGATGGTGGACCTGCGCCTAGACACGACCACAACACACGATGTAGTCAGCCGGATCCAGGCCGTATCCAGATCAGATGGAGGACCTGTGCCTAGACACGACCACAACACATGATGTAGTCAGCCGGATCCGGGCCGTATCCAGATCAGATGGTGGACCTGCGCCTAGACACGACCACAACACATGATGTAGTCAGCCGGATCCGGGCCGTATCCAGATCAGATGGTGGACCTGCGCCTAGACACGACCACAACACACGATGTAGTCAGCCGGATCCGGGCCGTATCCAGATCAGATGGAGGACCTGCACCTAGACATGACCACAACACATGATGTAGTCAGCCGGATCCGGGCCGTATCCAGATCAGATGGTGGACCTGCGCCTAGACACGACCACAACACACGATGTAGTCAGCCGGATCCAGGCCGTATCCAGATCAGATGGAGGACCTGTGCCTAGACACGACCACAAAGCATGATGTAGCCAGCCGGATCCGGGCTGTATCCAGATCAGATGGGGGACCTGCGCCTAGACACGACCACAACGCATGATGTAGTCAGCCGGATCCGGGCCGTATCCAGATCAGATGGTGGACCTGCGCCTAGACACGACCACAACGCATGATGTAGTCAGCCGGATCCGGGCCGTATCCAGATCGGATGGAAGACCTGCGCCTAGACACGACCACAACGCATGATGTAGTCAGCCGGATCCGGGCCGTATCCAGATCAGATGGTGGACCTGCGCCTAGACACGACCACAACGCATGATGTAGTCAGCCGGATCCGGGCCGTATCCAGATCGGATGGAAGACCTGCGCCTAGACACGACCACAACGCATGATGTAGTCAGCCGGATCCGGGCCGTATCCAGATCAGATGGAGGACCTGCGCCTAGACACGACCACAACACATGATGTAGTCAGCCGGATCCGGGCTGTATCCAGATCAGATGGAGGACCTGCGCCTAGACACGACCACAACGCATGATGTAGTCAGCCGGATCCGGGCCGTATCCAGATCAGATGGAGGACCTGCGCCTAGACACGACCACAACACATGATGTAGTCAGCCGGATCCGGGCCGTATCCAGATCAGATGGAGGACCTTCGCCTAAACACGACCACAACACATGATGTACTCAGCCGGATCCGGGCCGTATCCAGATCAGATGGAGGACCTTCGCCTAAACACGACCACAACACATGATGTAGTCAGCCGGATCCGGGCCGTATCCAGATCAGATGGAGGACCTGCGGCTAGACACGACCACACCGCATGATATAGTCAGCCGGATCCGGGCCGTATCCAGATCAGATGGAGGACCTTCGCCTAAACACGACCACAACACATGATGTAGTCAGCCGGATCCGGGCCGTATCCAGATCAGATGGAGGACCTTCGCCTAAACACGACCACAACACATGATGTAGTCAGCCGGATCCGGGCCGTATCCAGATAAGATGGAGGACCTGCGGCTAGACACGACCACACCGCATGATGTAGTCAGCCGGATCCGGGCCGTATCCAGATCAGATGGAGGACCTGTGCCTAGACATGACCACAACGCATGATGTAGTCAGCCGGATCCGGGCCGTATCCAGATCAGATGGAGGACCTTCGCCTAGACACGACCACAACACATGATGTATTCAGCCGGATCCGGGCCGTATCCAGATCAGATGGAGGACCTGCGCCTAGACACGACCACAACAATTTGTTTAATCTTTGATAGTAAAACTACAAAAGTAGTCATATTTCTCTTCTCTCCCATATAAACATACTCTCTCTTCTGCTTGTGTTTCTACAGTTCTTCATTCTGTTGCTCCTGATATTATTGTTGGAGATTCTGTTCATGATTCTGTTCTTCGCATATCAAGATCAGGTACGTGCAAAATGGATCTGTCTTTTTACGCTATTTATTATTTCATATTATTTCACTGATTGTGATTGGTCAATAGCGGCATTCAGCTCTCGCATATTTAATTGTAATGACACTAAACTGTATAATAAGCCATTGTCTCAGTGATTTCCAGTTTCATGAGTCTCGTTTCATTTTACACTCCTCTCAAATCATAACATTATTTACACAGAAATCAATATTTCATGACCATGCATTTATTTTTGTAGCCATGCAGTAAGTGCCATAATGTCTTTATTATGTTTATTATTTATAATGTCAGTCTTTGTCCTAAAATAAACACATGATATAAGTGAGGGTTAAAAGTCTGTGGGAACCTTTATCTTAACATTTGATTTTCAGATTTGAAACATTTGAAAAAGAGTCTTTACCTTCCCTCAGGATCAGCAATGAGAGCGGTGCAAGTAAGCCAGTTATTCATTGTGTTAGTATCATCTACAGCCATGAATATGAATGATATATACAGTATAATGAATATTGCAGCACTGCAGGACATCAAGGCTGAGCTTAACACAAAGCTCATGCGCTGAGATCACTGAAGAACAGTTACCGAGGATTTGATCTAAGGACACATGATGACTTCTTTCTCAATGTAAAATAACCAAACTGTCTTCTCCTTCTCTGTCTGTGAGAGAATTTTTGCTATTGGTTTTCTTGGCCAATCTCTTCAAAGCACATATGGCAGGGTAGTGTGATGATGGGCATTTTCCAAAGACTCGTCCAAGCATATTTTCACTGGCTGTGTGTCAAATCATCATTCATTCTGTCTTCTCTTCCTCCAACACTGAGAGAGAAAACACACGATTAATTCACACTTCATCGTGATAATCTTCTCACTGTCAACGTTTTTTTATTTCGGTGAAAATTTGCATCATGAAGCTAATTAAATTATTACATATAGTGATGACAAAAATATGATGTAAAAAAGATATAAACAATACACTTTTCATCAGTGTTTTAAAATATAACTTGGCGCACAGGTGCTACTGAACAGCTTGGGCTGTGAAACACAAGAGACATATTTAGAAGAAAGCATATTTAGTGATAACACAAGTCTTCATCATCAACAACAATCATACAGTGACCTTCAGGGGTGAACTAATATGTACATTATATTAAATCACGTTTGTGTGTGTATATATATATATATATACCAGCCTAATGATTTAGGCTGGTATATATATATATATATACAGGGTAAACAGGGTAAACCTAAAAGAAACATATATATGATATCATTGTTATGAGATTTTATTAATGATTTGTTATTAAAAGGTAAACTTGACAGACAGTTTTTGGAGATGTGGGTTTATCCTTCACTTCATGCGGTGGAGTCGTGTTTATGAATATTACTTGCACAGATAACAGCAGGTGATGGTGTTCGCATCGGGGCGTGGCCTCAGTGAAAAAAACAAATGTGATTCATAATTATTTTTTTAATTCTAAGAATGTAAAGGTTTGTTGTTTAGGTTTAGAGTCAGGGTTGGGTTTAGTGATTATATAAATGAGCTTTTTTGGATAATAAAGGTGAGTGTGTACAGTAAGTGTGGATTGAAACACATCTGCAGAAAGGGAGCGATTACATTGATAAACTGGCAATATAAGGCTGAAATTGTGTTATTCTGTACATACTTTTTCTTACGGTCCACACAGATGATTAGAAATGACCTCCTTGACCTCTTTCTGCTTCTTCCACTCTACCGCTATTTATTATTTATGATTTATTACTGTATTACATCTATCAGGAAGGCTGTGAAGGGCATCGAGCCAGCAGCCGATGTCGGATCACAGGGACTATAGAAGAGAGGACGCCCCGCGCTCGTTCCAAAGCCTCCCGTAATGCTTATTTCATGCACATTTACGTTTCACACGACAGCTCCTCATGCTTACACACAAATCCTGTCTGAAGGACTGTAGGGAAACCCAGTCCTTTGAGGACAGCTTTCATTGGCAGGGTGTAACAGTATAGATCGCTGTCTTGCTCCTGTTTGCCTGTTTCCTCGCTGTTTGTGGTGTTGAATAATTCATTGCTGACGGTCCGTTTGGCCGACTGATGACGGAAGTGCAAATCCTCTGAAGTAAAAGCTGCAAAACCTTCATTTATAACTCAAGCTACTTATGTCAGAAGACTAATATTCCTTAAACACTTCACCTAACTTCATGTATTCAGCGAAGAATAGTTAAGATGTTTAAATGCATTTTCTGTCTTTATGTTTACTGCTTTTGTCAAGGAAGCATATTTAATATGCATATGTGCCGACACTACTGCATTCTTAGTGCTGTAAAAGGTTTTTGCCTGAATAAGTAGTTTTAATTGGATATTATTAAACTTGTAGTTCTGACTCTAACATAAAATATGCAGCTGTGTTGATCAGCGCCACAAACCGCCTACAGCCACTAAATTAGATTATTTGGTGGAAGAATTTATAATCATTAAGAAATGATAGTTCTTTTTATAGAACTGACTTTTATTATATTGCGTTTCTGCCGAACACCTCTTGCTTGTGGTAAAATCACTGAAACTCTTGTCATCTGCTGGTTTATTGCTTTGTTTTAACGATTATGACATATTTTCAAAATTAAAATTCTAAGATGAAAGTCATAAAGGCTAAAGTGGTAAGGGAAGCCGCACTGAGCCGATACAGTGTTAAAGCAGCAGTGAATCTAAGCCAGACCCGATCACACCTGTGCTTCATCGATTCATGTAAAAATAGCCATTATAGCAAAACTGGTACAAAAAGATTAGATCCATAACCAGATCCCAACCATAAAACGCACATAAATGATGCATAAAACATCTGAAAGTTCTTTTAGCAAACTGATGACACTGAATACTGATAACACTAAACATATTTAACTGCCCATATTTTAATTGAAGATATGTCACTATATAAAACCTGTGAATAAATCGAATGATTTCACTCAATTAGTCTATTAGGTTTTAATGAGAAGTGAAGATGTCTGAAATGTACATCTAATTCATGGAATTATTAAATAATAACCCCATGAATTACATTAAGTATAAAATTTTAAATTAATAATACTAATCGTAAAAAAATTGTGTCCACCAGTCCAGAATTAGTTTTCACAGACAGGAGTAACACTCAGCACGCATAATATCCACATACTGCACGAAATACTCATATACATATATTGAACACATAAATACACATATTACATAAAAATGCCAATAAGAACAAAACAGTATGAATTTAAAAATTACGCATTCTGTGAATTTAACGCGCTTATAGGCGAGAGTAGGTTTCCCCAAGTCGTGTGTTTGACGGGTGTGTGTGTCTGAGGGAAGGGTGAAGCGTGGTTATAGGGTTTGCTCTACAGTAACTGTGTCAATGAGAGCCGAGACGTGGCTGGGGTTCGGGTTATAGGGTTTACTCTACAGTAACTGTGTCAATGAGAGCCGAGACGTGGCTGGGGTTCGGGTTAAAGGGTTTACTCTACAGTAACTGTGTCATTGAGAGCCGAGACGTGGCTGGGGTTCGGGTTATAGGGTTTACTCTTCAGTAACTGTGTCATTGAGAGCCGAGACGTGGCTGGGGTTCGGGTTATAGGGTTTGCTCTACAGTAACTGTGTCAATGAGAGCCGAGACGTGGCTGGGGTTCGGGTTAAAGGGTTTACTCTACAGTAACTGTGTCATTGAGAGCCGAGACGTGGCTGGGGTTCGGGTTATAGGGTTTACTCTTCAGTAACTGTGTCATTGAGAGCCGAGACGTGGCTGGGGTTCGGGTTCGGGTTATAGGGTTTGCTCTACAGTAACTGTGTCAATGAGAGCCGAGACGTGGCTGGGGTTCGGGTTAAAGGGTTTACTCTACAGTAACTGTGTCAATGAGAGCCGAGACGTGGCTGGGGTTTGGGTTATAGGGTTTACTCTACAGTAACTGTGTCATTGAGAGCGGAGACGTGGCTGGGGTTGGGGTTATAGGGTTTGCTCTACTGTAACTGTGTCATTGAGAGCCGAGACGTGGCTGGGGTTTGGGTTATAGGGTTTACTCTACAGTAACTGTGTCATTGATAGCCGAGACGTGGCTGGGGTTCGGGTTATAGGGTTTACTCTACAGTAACTGTGTCATTGAGAGCCGAGACGTGGCTGGGGTTCGGGTTATAGGGTTTGCTCTACAGTAACTGTGTCAATGAGAGCCGAGACGTGGCTGGGGTTTGGGTTATAGGGTTTACTCTACAGTAACTGTGTCAATGAGAGCCGAGATGTGGCTGGGGTTTGGGTTATAGGGTTTACTCTATAGTAACTGTGTCAATGAGAGCCGAGACGTGGCTGGGGTTTGGGTTATAGGGTTTACTCTACAGTAAATGTGTCAATGAGAGCCGAGACGGGACTGGGGTTGGGGTTATAGGGTTTACTCTACAGTAACTGTGTCAATGAGAGCCGAGACGTGGCTGGGGTTTGGGTTATAGGGTTTACTCTACAGTAACTGTGTCATTGAGAGCCGAGACGTGGCTGGGGTTTGGGTTATAGGGTTTACTCTACAGTAACGGTGTCATTGAGAGCCGAGACGTGGCTGGGGTTTGGGTTATAGGGTTTACTCTACAGTAACTGTGTCAATGAGAGCCGAGACGGGGCTGGGGTTTGGGTTATAGGGTTTACTCTACAGTAACTGTGTCAATGAGAGCCGAGACGTGGCTGGGGTTGGGGTTATAGGGTTTACTCTACAGTAACTGTGTCATTGAGAGCCGAGACGTGGCTGGGGTTTGGGTTATAGGGTTTACTCTACAGTAACTGTGTCATTGAGAGCCGAGACGTGGCTGGGGTTCGGGTTATAGGGTTTACTCTACAGTAACTGTGTCAATGAGAGCCGAGACGTGGCTGGGGTTTGGGTTATAGGGTTTACTCTACAATAACTGTGTCATTGAGAGCCGAGACGTGGCTGGGGTTCGGGTTATAGGGTTTACTCTACAGTAACTGTGTCATTGAGAGCCGAGACGTGGCTGG